CTTCATCCACCAGCGGGACCAAAACCATCTCTACACGATGCCGGCCAGCCGGGACCGCACCGGTGCTCAGGCAGGGCCGGCACGAGGGGCGAATCTCCGCTCGCTTGTCCCCTCTACCGTCCTTACGTTCACTTTGGCTGCTTTTCTGCCTAAGAAATTGTGCATGTGGTTTTTTTTTTGCTTGAACTTTGGTTTGCAGTTAATTTACACTTTTTCTTTGCTTTGTTGCCGTATTTCTGATTGCTTTTTTTTCTCTCTGCCTCCTTTTCTTTTTTTTTTTCGCCTTGCCATCTACAGCCAGGCTATGTAAGAGACTTGGTAAGTGACAGCAACAATAAAATTAAGATAAATTTAAGATAAAACTTAAAATAGTCTAGAACCCCTTTGGTTTGGAGAGCAGCAATGAAAAAAACTAACAAAACCCCCACCCCCCCAGAGAAACTTGGGCCCTGTTTGGTTTTTACAACGGTCCCCAGTGATTTATGCTGCGAAACTAGAAACCCTACACCAGAAATTTGCCCCGCCGTTTTGCTCACATCCTGCGTCTTAAACTAAATGAGCCTGGGCGGCTCTTTGCCTCCAGACAGCTCGGATCTATATTTGCTTTTATATGTCTGGAGATACGAAGCAAAAGCAGCTCCACGTTTATCAGCCGTGGTTGCAGGCTTTGAGCAGTCGTAGCTGAAATAAGACCTCAGGGTAGAAATTATTGATTATCTGCGTTGTTCCTAACCGCGCTGGCTCCCAAATGCCTCCCGAGTCGTTACCCGTTCGCGTGACAGTCGTGGTGCCGCTAACAAGCCCCCCCGCCTAAAGCCAGTGTGTCTCGCCGCCCGCAGATCACGGCACGCATCCTGGAAGCCCACCAGAACGTTGCTCAGATGAGTCTCATCGAGGCGAAGATGCGGTTTATTCAAGCCTGGCAGTCGCTGCCGGAGTTCGGCATCACGCATTTCATTGCAAGGTCGGTGGGTCCGCTGGGCGGAACAGGAGGAATTTCACGAATAAATACATGGAGTACGTTAAATACGCAGCACATCCTTAGCTGTGGAAGTTGCACTGGAACTGAAATTAAAAGCATTAATTGCATCGACTTATAAAACCGATTTTATAAGTTAACTCGGCTGCTGAATTTAACATGCGTAGCCGTGTGTCACGGGTGTGCATTTATTAATCCCTCGCCGTGTCGCAGGTTCCAGGGGGGCAAGAAGGAGGAGCTGATCGGCATCGCCTACAACCGGCTGATACGGATGGACGCGAGCACGGGCGACGCCGTCAAAACCTGGCGGTTCAGCAACATGAAGCAGTGGAACGTGAACTGGGAGATTAAAATGGTGAGCCGGTGTTTTGCACCTCGGCCGCTTCCCCCGCTCCTGTTACGTGAGGCGGATGCTGCTCTCGGGGGTTTTTTAAGTTGACTTTGTAAGTCGGCTTTTAAAGAGTCAGGTTTTCACATCACTGTTTTCTAAAGCGTGTCCCATCCGGCTGCGTTAATGTAATACAGCTTCTCCTCCTCCCTTTTGCACCCTCCTTGGAGATCTAGCAGAGCTTGTCCTAACCGCTGGTAGGCTTGAGTACGACCCTTAAAAAGAGGTGAAAAAAAAAATGAATCTTTCTTTAACGCACCAACACTTAATGCGTAACGATTTTCTCTGGTCTCTGACCACCCACTCAAAGGCAGCTAAATAAAATCAAACTTCAGAAGTGGTGCTCAGGCTTGATCCTAACCAGTACCATAAATGTACTGGGCCTTATCCGTACTAAAATTCATCTTATCCGCAGTACAGCTCAGACTTTCATGCAAGTAATGAAAAGCAACAGCAGACCCTTCATTAGGCTCCGACATGGGCTTTTACCACGCCGTTACGTCTGGATGCACCAACTTTTTGTGGTCCTTTTCGGCACAGCACCCGATGAAAATCGCCAGGGATACGTGAGGGCTCTTCTCCTGCGGTTTGCAGCTCGTTAAGAGTTGCTGGAGAAATTATTCAGCTTCCCCTCTGCCTCAGAGTCTTTGTTTTGACCCAGTTGCAAGCCCCGATACCCCAATTATTTGGCTTGGATACCCTGCTGGGAATCCCCCTCCCTCCCGCAGAGCTATCAGTGACGGGGGGACAAAAAAATAACGGGCATCAATAAATGGACGGTCTATTCAGTCACTCCAAAACGAGCTCACCCAGCTCCCAAAAAGCATTTCTGCAGCCAAACTTCAACTTACAAAACCAGAATACGCTCGCAGGGAAAACTGGAAAGAAATTCCAGCCCTCGACAGGTCTGTGCCCGGTCTCTGTTTCACTTGAAGCAAAGGGGATGTCGCCACGTGCTCACCGCCGAGAGGTGCAAACGCGCTGGTGCAAAATCATTTGCTTTTATATGTCTGGAGATACGAAGCAAAAGCAGCTCCACGTTTATCAGCCGTGGTTGCAGGCTTTGAGCAGTCGTAGCTGAAATAAGACCTCAGGGTAGAAATTATTGATTATCTGCGTTGTTCCTAACCGCGCTGGCTCCCAAATGCCTCCCGAGTCGTTACCCGAGGTGCGAGGTGCAAAAATCTCTGAGTCACGGGAGAATAAAAGGTATAATGATAATTAAAGAAAAGAAAAATTAAATAAAAAGTAAAATCATTTTAAAAAGCAATAAAAGGTATGTCTGTATCTGAACATTTTAACAAGCATCACTGCATCACAGAATCGTAGAATACCTCAAGTTGGAAGGGACCCATAAGGATCATCGAGTCCACGCCATCATTTACACCGCTGGCTTTTGCTTAGAGGCATCTGCTTTAACGGAAAAGAAAAACGGGGCAGGAGGGAAGAGCGTGCATGAGTGTAACTCCTTCGGGAAGGCGCCGGTGAGGCTAACCCCTGTGGTTTTTGCCCTTTAGGTGACGGTGGAGTTTGCAGATGACGTTCGGGTGTCCTTCATTTGCACGGAGGTGGATTGCAAAGTGGTTCACGAGTTCATCGGCGGCTACATCTTCTTGTCGACGCGAGCGAAAGATCAGAATGAGAGTTTAGATGAAGAGATGTTCTACAAACTGACCAGTGGTTGGGTGTGAGGCCCACGTACTGTACACCGAGAGGAAACCCCATGGCCATATTAATATTTAACTTTAAAAAGCTGTTCTTTGAAATATGCTGCTTAATAAAGTAAGCTTGAAATGTATCTTTTTTTTTTTTTTTATCATGAAAATTTTTGCATTACCAGACCAGTTAATCTGTGTGCACTAATGAGCACTTCTGTTAATTCGCTATAACAAGACGGTATCTGGGCCGGGTGATCGTGCCGCTGGCCTTTAGATACAGAATCTGATGGGCAGATCAGGATAAGATTTGACTGACTTAAAATAGCCAATTTTCTAAGAGAACTCTAAGCCATCTTCTTGTAAAGCCATCCAGGGCTTAACCTATATGAAGTCTATTTATCATGTTTAATGCATGAGTGTTTTCTTTCTTTTTTTTTGTGTGTTTTTTATTCTGTACATTTGACCTGTTTTGAAGTTGTCCTACCCACCAGTAGAACTGCCATCTCTCCTTTCACACTACGCGCACCGGGACTGCTACAGGTGCCTGACATGACTTTGAAGATAGTTGCGTGTGGCCTTGAAGACGGATCTTCTGTTAGTCTGTTATAGCTTGGGTTTATTTGTTAACTTGCCTTTTGATAATCATTTATATTGATTTTTTTTTTTTTTTTTTTTTTTAAATCAAATGCCCTTTAAGTTCTGATTTGTTTTTTTTTTTTTTTAAATTTTATTTTATTTTTACACCATATTGTATTATGACACTTTTAGTATTCACCAGCATAGTCACTGTTCTGCCTATGATATGCAAACTTTTTCATTACAATATGAAGTAAAGGTCTATGAAGTATAGGTTTTGTGTAACTAATGTAAAAAACACAAATTTTATAAAATTGTACAGTTTTTTTAACTAGTCTCACAAGCCAGCTAGAATATTGCATAGACACCATATTGTATTATGACACTTTTAGTATTCACCAGCATAGTCACTGTTCTGCCTATGATATGCAAACTTTTTCATTACAATATGAAGTAAAGGTCTATGAAGTATAGGTTTTGTGTAACTAATGTAAAAAACACAAATTTTATAAAATTGTACAGTTTTTTTAACTAGTCTCACAAGCCAGCTAGAATATTGCATAGATCTGGTGTATCAGCATTAACTATAGTATGCCTGTAAGGGGTAAGGGGAGTAACCAAGAAACAAAATAACCCCCAAAAACCCAATTTCAGTCCAGTAAATTTTTATCTTAAGTTAAATAGGATTTCAGAGCTGCGCCACAACACCCTTGATAACTGATACCTGGGGCCAGGACCTCCCCGTTCGTTAAGCCAGCGCAGCGTTAACGCTAACGGGGAGCCATCTCCCACCCCCCCCCATGCCAAGGAATAACCAGTGTTGCGTTCCTGTAGTCTGTGGTTTCAAGACTATGTACAAATGCATTTTATTTTAAATAAAAGTCAAATCTTTTATTTAATATTCAGCTGCCGCTCCTGGTTTTTGTGGTTCAACTGTGCTAAGGGCAGGGCCGTTAGTAGGTCCCGTATGATACAGCCCACACCGTGCCAGCCCGGCGCTCCATCCCGCTGCCTTATCCCGAGCTTGCCAAAACAAAATACCACCAAAAACCAAAGCAAAATACAGGGATGGGGCAGGAGAGTCCAAGGCAGCAGCGTTGGCCCCCATCCCTGGCCAGGCAGGCAGCAGGGAAGCAGCCCCGGGGTTGCGGGGAAGGATGCTGCCCGGGACGCACGCAGTCAGTACCCTGCCGTCACCTAATTTGAAGGCTGATGATGGGGCGCTGGGGTGTAAAACAGCCTCGGCACACTGGGCTCAGCTAGAATCATAGAATAGAATCATTGAGGTTGGAAAAGACCTCTAAGATCATCGAGTCCAACCGTCAACCCAACACCACCATGCCCACTAAACCATGTCCCTAAGTGCCTCATCTACACGTCTTTTAAAT